TACTGTAACAAAGTGACCTGCCCGGCACAGTGTATGTTTCAGAGCGTGTGTGTCTGTTACGGTCTGACAGCGCGTGATCATTGACAGTAAGCGTGTAATGACCTAGACTGTCAATGGTGTAACAGCACAAAGGTACAGCCGTGTCAGTCCAACAACGCAAAAGTCCACTAAATGTCACAACAGAGCCAGAATTTACTGCCGGTATTCAAGGCAAATTATCGCTAATTTGAGAGTCCCTTTTGTGCGTTGCGTGTGTAATAATGAAACTGAACCGAAAATGCCTGTCACTGAGTGAGACTGAGATATAACTAACAGGCACTTAGTGCGCACATTTGGTTGAAAATCGTATTCTTCCCTAAACACCATCATGAAACAACAATAATTGATCTGTGTGCAGTAATTGTTCTCGTGGGTGAGGGGAGGGGCCAGGCTGGGTCCTGGGCGAGGCATTTTACTGTAATTTTCTCATTTGTGATGCACATCTATTACCTATCATTAAAGTTGAATGCACAGCAAGCTGTGAACAGCACTAAGGATCACGCTCACATGGAAAGACACAGGCTGAATAAAGGCTGAATTTCAGCAAATGACTCCATGGACTGATCATCTGGGGAATAGACAGAAATAGGGCCTTTAAAGGATCCTTTCATCAAAGCTACATCCTGCCAGCTCCCCCTAGCCATAACCTCATATAAAAGCCACACACACACACTAATGTGCACACACAGACACACAAGTCCTCTTTCAGGAATCAATAATTCAGCTAAAGAGAAGCACATGCTACGCCCCACTGCACTAATCAATAGAAAGCCAAATGTTATTGTTTCATCTCATTCTCTGACTTTCACATTCTAATCTGGGCTGACTAGCACATGCTGGACAGCATCAAAGAACTCCATTAAATTAAAATATAATACACACATACAAAGGGGACCCGAAATTTAGGAGGCGCCTCACTTTATCCTGGTGTGCTGTGATGCTAGTGTTTGTTCCTTTTGTCACAATATTTCTATTAGTTGCAAGTGAACACAGATGTCCTATAAAGATTCTATGCATAAACTCAACAAATGAGTCATATAACAGAGGTGACAGAAAGAATGGTAACAATTTTTCTCAGAGTTCTGCCTCCCCCAAACTGCATGGTCTCTTGGGAGACTGAGGCTATTTATTGATTACACAGACTTGTATGATTAGGGAGTGAAGGAAGACTACTGTGTATCCATAAAGAGAAGCTTGCAAGGAATTTGTATGCACTCTATGTGTGTGCAAATGCTTAGCCAAAGAGAGTGTCATGTGATTTTGTCAAGTGGTGTGAACTTGCCAGCCAAGGCCCCTCTCCCCTCTCTGTAATCGAGCTATCAATGATCATTAATGAGAGCGTGAGATAGCTCTCCACACCCCTCTTGGCCACACTGCCGAACGCTCTGGCCTCTCTCCCAGGCTTCCTTTCTCCTATTGACCCCATCTGTGGCTCTGCCATACGCGCCCTAAAGGCCACTAGCCACACTAACTAACCGTGAAAATGAATATGAACGTCAGCTGTTTAGTTATACGCGGAAATGCGCCCTTCCGTTGCTCCGCACACTCCACTTTTGGTCTCGTTTGCACGACACAGAACCCTAGCAGCTCGCTCAAGGATGCATCAATCGCTGACGGTGGCAAGATCGGATCTGTGCTGACCTTGGGAGTGAACTGCAACACAGGCGATGGAGCAAAGGGGCCCTGTTGCAACAAAGGAGGAGAAGTAGGGAAGACAGAAAGAAGGGAAAAGAAAAGTAGGAAGGAGGGAGGGATGAACGGACAGGGAATTGAGGGGCATGCTTTGATTGAGAGGCTCCCAAGATGAGCAACTCTGAGATATGAGAAAGGGGAGGGAGGAAGAGGGGGATGATGGAAGGGGTAGGGGAGGGTGGTGTGAGGGAGAGGGAAGCCATATGGCAGCAGTACAAATGTATTAAACTATAAATCAGGGGGAAAGCTAGTGGACTGCCAGGTGGGGCCGCAGTCAGGTCCTCCCAGCTGGAGGTGCAATGGTTCACAATGCAGTTCAGCACGGAAAAGGATGAAAGCATCACTGGTATTTTGCCTTTTTAAACTTTATAATTTTTCCTTGCATATATTTCTTAAACACATTTTATTTCTCTTTTTATTTCCTGGAAATAAATGGGGTGAAAGTGGCACATTGATTCTTCCAGCTGAGCGTTTGAAAGAATGCCAAAAAACAGCTCTCGCTTGAAAAGACCACAAAAATAAAATATATTTTTATGCTTTTACACTGGCAGCTGCTATGGTCCATCCAGTCTGTTCTTGCAGACACGAGCTCACTTGGGGCAGTTTCTTTAAATTTACTTAAATTATTACTCCACACTTTAAATTAACCTCGAACATCCAGTGGGACTCACGGAGAGCAGATTTAATTTTTCAGGTCAAGGGTTAAAAGTAAAGGTCACTGTGATTTTACAAAACATGCTAACCAGATTTCTGTTTGACCAGAAATCCAAAACTCAGGCATAAATTACACCTAAATTTTACACAAACATCTTATGAAATAAATAATGAGGGATAACAATCATTGTTAAAAGACAGACTAAGACTGAGATATACAAATATAAAAAATGACTATATAGAATTTCTGTTTGAGTAAAGAGGTTTAACAAAAGTACTGCATTACCCGTTTTTGAGATCACAATCATATTTTAAATATGAGGACAATTTTTAATACTCAGATACAAATCTTTTGCATTTCATTCAGGAACCCATGGACATCACAAAATGCTGTGGTTCCTCCCTTGAGAAGCTGTGCAAGGCCTTTACTGTTGCTTGTTTGTGAGCTCTCTGCATTCAGTTTTGTATTTAATAACTGAAAAGCGTGCTCTTTTGTGTTGAGATCAGATGACTGACTTGGACAAGAAGAAGAATATCCCATTTCTCTGCCTTGAGAAACTCTGGGCTTCTTCACAGTATGCTTTGGGTGTTTATCCACTTGCAATGTCAAGCACTGTCCCATCGGTTTTGCAGCATCTGACTGAATCTGAACAGAGAGTATAGCTGTCTACACTTCAGAATCCATCCAGCTTCTTCTATCAGCTGTCACATCATCAATAAACACTAGTGGCCCGGTTCCACTGGCAGCCATGCATGTCCATACTATAATACTGCCTCCAATCCATTTGACAGATGATGTGATATGTTTCCAATCATGAGCAGTTTCTTTCTTTTCTCCACAATTTTCTCTTCCCATTATTCTGGTACAAATTCATCTTGGCTTCATCTGTCCAAAGAAATTTTCTTTCAGATCTCTGCAGCATCTTTTAGACATTTTTTGGGCAAAGTCTAATGTGACTTCTTTGTTCTTGAGTACAACGATCATTTTGTAGACCCACCGAACTGTGTCTCTTGAACTAAGCCCAGCACTTAGAGAGTGGCTCAAAGAGTTGGCAGTTCGTCTTGTAACCAGAAGGTTGCCGGTTCGAGCCCCGGCTCGGACCGTCTCGGTCATTGTGTCCATGGGCAAGACACTACTACTGGTGATGGCCAGAGGGGGCCGATGGCGCGATATGGCGATATGGCAGCCTCGCTTCTGTCAGTCTGCCCCAGGGCAGCTGTGGCTACAACTGTAGCTTGCCTCCACCAGTGTGTGAATGTGAGAGTGAATGAATAGTGGAATTGTACAGTGCTTTGAGGGCCCAGAAAAGCGCTATATAAATGCAATCCATTATCAAAATATTTCTATATACAGCTGATTCAGTTCTATTGGCGAACACCTTGAATCGATTTAAAATCCACTGTGGCGGTGCACACGCCCACAATTATAAAGAGGTGTCATTGCCCAAATATTTAAACTGCCATTGCGCTCTGTAGTGCAACTGTGAAGCAGTAATCCATATTTTGATAACATTTAAAAGTCAGTAATCAAGGCTGAAGAAAATATTAAATATGCCATTGGCAACGTCAAGTACTCTGAGAATCGGGAGACACATTTGGGTTGGCAGTTTAAAAAAGTCCATCATATCAATCATATTCGATTGCCACATAAAAAATAAATAGTTAAAAATAACAAAATTTCTGTGTTTTCTTTATAATAATCATATCAGATAAATTCACGGTTTAATAACCAAATGAAATGCAAAGTAATTCTATTGAAAGTTCAACTGTACACTTGCAGCTCTTTCACCGATGTGCATCACACTGTCACAATAATGGACAAAAATTAGTGTTACACATATGGTAGAAAAACAAATAGAGTAATCCCCAAAAGGCTTCCATTTTAATCCCTTGATGATGTCTGGGTAGTGTGCCCAGCCAGTGTCCTGGCAGCCATCAGGGCCCAAGCCTGGGCGTCCATCCCAGAGGCACTGATGCATACTATAACTGGAACAAACACAGGCGGCCGTCCTCATGCCTGCTCTGTGTCACAGCCGTACCACTGCCACAGAATAAAAGGGTTCATAACCCATTTTTCTCATCTTTGCAGAAATCTGGACATTTATGCTGTTTAGAGAATTTAAAGTGAGCTACATTAATTAATAAATGTTTAGAATCTTTCATTTGCTTAATCTATAGTGGCACAATAAGAGATTCCGCTTCATAAAATTCCCCTGAATCTGCTAAACATATTATTTAACATGTTACGCTTCACAGCATCTCTTTAGGAGCTCAGCAGTAGGCAGATTAAGTATAGATGGAGGTTACTGGACAGCTCCTGGTTACGCTCTGCTAGGCAGAAGAGTAGACCAAAGCCTTGATCCCTGATCCTTGATCATTCACTCTGTGACATATATGCACACATACATACAGACACACACACACACGGAGCGGCATAAACATCCGAACTCCAATGAGGTTCTTGACATCACAACCATCGCAGCCAAGGCCAACTATCCACCAAATCCCATCTCCACTCAGAGATGGGGGGGGGGGAATGAGGAAGAGTGGGAGGGATACAGGACAAGAGTGTAGGAGTAAATGAGAAATGAAAGAAGAGCAGAAGAGCAGCATACCTTGGTCTGGAGATAGTGGGGGTAGTAGTAGGTGTACTGAGGGTACATTGGCTGCTGCTCCAATCGCTTGCCCATGTAGCTGGAATCCTTAGCACTGAGGCAGGGAATGGTGACACGGGGGCGGGAGCTGCCAAGTAGCTAGCAATGGGATAGAGGCAATGAAGGGACTGTGCAATTCCTGTCTTTGCTATCCGCACCGCTGTGTCACTCGCTGATCCCTCCAGGGAGAAAGCAGGGTTTGCGTGTCGGACAGTGGCTGGGAGAAGGGCTGCCTCTGATGAGGAAGCTCCTGACGAACTGTGTCTTACCGGTCCAGGGAATCAGTACCGAGGCAGATGCTCACTCAGTCTCACACTCTTGGATCAATGCAAATATTTCCACAAGTGCTAGAAGCAAGACAGGCGTGTTTTACAGAGGCTGCTGTTGGATATTAACGCCTAACAAGGGTGAGGTAGAGGAAGAAGAGGAAAGAGAAGACGCGAGGAGGTGCAGGTGGCAGTAGCTCTGGCAGTCCAATAAATGTTGGAAAATGGGAGAAGAGGAGGAGGAGGAGAGGAGGAGGAAAGGAATGGTAAGGAAAACGGGAAAGGACGTATACGTTCACTTCTCTATTTAAGCTGTTTCACTCCAGTCTTTTGCCTGGGCTTTAATCTGTCTCTCTCTCTCTCCCAAACACTGTGAATCTGACTCTCTCTCTAGCTGCCCCTCTCGCTCTCTCTTTCCCTCTCTTACATATACGCGCACACACACACACTTTCTCTCTTGCCTCTGTCTGATTCGACGATGGCTGCGTGCTGTCCTGTTTGACAGAGGGGAGATATCCTCAGCGCCGTCAGATGCACTTTGTGCAAGGAGCAGAGTCACAACACGAGAGCTGAACACAGACACGCAAAGCAATTTCAGTCCGTAACGGTTGAGCCAGCGGGAGGACAGATAACAGAGCAAAGATCCCAGTTTCTAAATGATGTGACACAAGCATATATATATATTTTTTTTTAAATCCACCGGTTGGTTATTCAATCCACTGAGTTCCAGCTAGTAGATGAGTGAAAAAAGCCCCCACAGTGACAGTGTCCCGGGTGCCCAGTGGAGAAGGAGTCCCTCGTCTGCGATCCTCCCTCTTTCTGCTCTTGTAAAATGTGTTCCTTATTTCTTCCTTGGCTCTCTCACTCCTCTAAGCACCCTGCCTCATTCTCTTTCTCTCTGTCACACAGCTGCTCTCTCTCTCTCGCGTGCGCTTTCTCTATTACACAGTCTCTCAGCCTCTCTCTCTCCCTGTCTCTCTCTCGCTCTCCTTCTACTCCACACTGACAGGGTGGTAAAGGGGGCTCGTCCGAGGTTGCGAGCGGAGCAAACTGCCCTCCTCCTTCTCCAGCCCAGCTGGTGGGAGGGTCTTGAGCAGATCTGTGCAAGAGAGCGATCCAGACACAGACCAGCGGGCTGCAGCGTTTCCACAACCTGGGAGAACGCAGGGAATAGGAGTGGAGACGAGCGGGGATGGCGCCAGCGCGAGCAGTCGATTCCCCCTACTGGCTACACAAGGAGCTACCGCCTGGAATACTGTGTCTTCACACGGATGCTTTCGCTTCCCAATCTTAGCCGATTAAATTCAAAAACCAGTTATGTTCAATAAATGACTTCACGCGTGTATCTGTTCAGAATCTAAAAGTATATCTGAGCTATTTGTTAACTATAGACTAGGTCATTTCTGTTGTAGAAAATGGAAATAAAAACAAAAATAAAAGACAAGTTTTAGAAACCAATTTAAAAATATGTGTTTATATATTTATTTTTTTTTACTTTCTTTAATTATAGGTCTTATTTGGAATTTCACAGCACTTAAGATAATCCTGGGACAAAGCAATGTAACTTCATAATCTCTTTTTAACACATTATTAGTTTTTAGGGACTGAAGACAGTTTTGAGTGTAAAATATTCCCCCAGTCCTGCTAAATATGCTCCCCTGAGTCCCACGTGTTTGTTGTATAATTTACAAACTGTTTCTGGATTACTTGAAGTCCTGTTTACATGCATGCTTGTTTATCTCAGATCCATCCTGCTGTAGTACATGTAGAGTGTGGGCTTGCTGAAATGAGCATTTTCCCTGAAAAAAAATGTTGCATTCGAAGATATGTTGCTCCTGAAACTATATACTTCATTCAGCTTTAATGGTGCCTTCACAGATGCCAAATTCATGCACACTCAGGCACTATTTAAATACTGTGAATGTTGACTTTTTAACAGTGTCGTGATTGCAGGTCAGATGGATCATCTTGTCTTTGGTGTTTTTGCTCTTTTGTCGCTCTTCTTTTGCCGATTTATCTCAACTTTTTTTTTAATGAGTTGATGATATTCAAGATTCAACATATGATTTCGTTTTTTCGTTTTAACATTGATTACACACCATCCTGAAACACTTGTATGTCATCTCGCACCCTCTGACTACACGATGAGTAATTATCGTGCCAAGTGAAAGACTCCAGTGAAACCCGCTTCCTGTGCAGCATTAAATCTCTTTTGATTGACCGTGACCAAAAACATCACAAAAAGAGCATTCGGTCAATTCGGAGAGCGTTTGCCTGATCACAAGCAACCGCAGCTCCAATCACATCTGCAAATAAGATTAAACACGGTGCTTATGAAGTCCTACGTCTTTTTCGTCACACACACGTCCACAAGAATGAACAGCAACAGACTGAAAGTTCTCGAGAGTATCTCGATGACGCTGAGGCCACAAGTTCAGGAGCCTCATTTTTCACTCAATTATCAAATCAGCTTGGGTTTCGTTTAAATTACCTGCCATGAGAACTGAAGAAAACTGCAGCCAAAAAGTACAACATGAAATTACTGGACTGAAAACAATTACATTTGGGCAATTTCCACATCTGAAAATAGACCCCTGACTTTGATGAGTTTAGTTTTGCATTTCATCTGTTCCACTTCAGAGCGTTACACAAAAACCCACGAGGCTGATGTCTCCTTCTCAAAAAATAATAGCCTAATTACAAATGTCTAGTGCAGTAACACACTCAAGATAAGTGATTTCAGCTGTAAAACAAAACCAAAAAAAGAATTCACAACGCAGTATATAATAAAAATGAATTCAGCCACATCTGTATGTCACATATTGTAAGTTACAATGGAATCTGTGTTTGCGTAAATCCGACACAGGAAATTGAATTATTGATAACACTTTGCAGATCATATTTAAATAATATGGTGTAAATGTCACTTTTTTTTTTTTCCTTTCTCCAGACTAAATCTATACCAGCAGAAGAATCTCATGGACCAAAGGAAAGCACAGAGAGAAAGGGCACCTTTTTTCAGACATGGTGAAGCAAATACAATTATCAGATAGGTCACTTTTATCTGAAGGAAAAGAGTTGAGGCTGATATTGATTGTGGATTACCAGATTAACAGTCTTTGGTTCAACTGGGCACAAACTCTGAGCAACTGTGGAAAGATCTACTGTACAGAACACAGAGGAAGACGGGAAATCGGCCAACGAAGAAAGTGGCTAAAGAGAGGATACAAGGGAAAATAAGAGGAAGCAGCACGAAAAATATTCATTTGTTTTCATACAGGAGTGTGGCACTGTTTGCATTTCATACATAAGGAGCATCGTTTTTGTATTTTCACTCTAAAAGCCTCATTTAAATTTACTGACGATGTCTTTTTGGTCCTACATTTTATCCAGGTGACCAAAAGATATGTTACAAACTGTTTATTTAGTGTGTTTATCACACATGGCATCCACATTTTCTCCAGAAAAGCAGGGGTGATTAGTAGAGTCTGATTAGTTTATCACGAGACTGATTTAAGCTACATTTAATCTATCAGTTTCGATATTTAAAACGACCGATAAATGAAAATTTAAAAAAAGAAAGATGAGACGAGAGACACCATTCAACCATGTTACGAGTCTCGATGTAACATAGTTTGTCCACCAGAGGGCACTGTGGACGTTCCCTGTTAGCATTGTGTTTGGAATGCCACAAACAAGCAAAGTCAGACATACACAAAACAACAAAATAAACAATTGTGCCTTTGGAAAAGAAACCTGATATATATTGAAAATCATATTCTCTAAAATTGTCAAATAAGTAGTAATAGCTTTAAAAGAAATTCCTACATGCTACGTGAATCAGACTCAGTGTTCTGATCAGGCCATCGGTGGGAGCTTTGTCATTTTATTTGAAAAATTACATAAATTCTTTATAGATGATTAACCATCTAACGTGACTGTCAATAATTATTGGTCAATAATATTTTATTATTTTGTGTGTCATATATGATGATAAACGAAATATTGTCAGTAGAACATAATACAAAAAGAACAACATCCATGCTATTTAATGTCACATTGGGCTGAGAGGAATATCAAATATAGGCATGAAAAAAATATTTTGTTCCATTAAAAAAAACTAACTATTATGATTAAACTGTAATAAAAATGCCTGCTAGCATTTGTACTTAATACTTTTAGTAAGCGAGAATGATATTTTTGCTCATATTATGTAATATTTAGTATTATTATGACAAAAAAGGGTTTCTTGTTTTCTAAAATTTACTGAAATTAGTCAAGAGGGAATGGAAACACAGGAGAGTACCGTTACACAGACACTGGTCAGCTAAATCATCAATATTAATTGGTTCAACCATTAAGAATTAAAAGCTGGGAACTGAGACTTGACTCTTGAAACTAAAGAAGTTGACCTGTGGCCCTACAGACAACACTAGAAACTCTTGAGAACTGGCTGACATGAACTTTCAGCCTTTACCCATGAACTGGCAGAGGTTAGTTTATGAAGGCAATTTAACATTAAGTAACTGGAGAGCTGTACTACATCCTGCATGTAAATAAATGTCAGCACTGTGTTTCATTCCATTGAAGCAGACCTTGAAGACTCTAAGAGCGTTTTGCCTTGATGGTGATGGAAGTGTTCTGGTCTGAATCAGTGAGACTGGCGTCACAGAGAAGTGATATGCAGCCAAATATTTCATGAAGAGGGGGAAAAAAGAGCAAGTGTGTTTGTCTCTGTTCCTCTATCAATAATACTGCTGTAAGAAAAAGGTTTTTTTTTATTCAAAATGAGAACATGAGGACAACAGAGAGGAAATACATAAATTTCCACCAACATTCCTATTTTTGTAACCTCCTTTGTAAACTATTAGACCCTTGAGTAGGCCACGCAGCAAGGTGGCACTGAGTGTTCTTCACAGTGATGGAAAACTCTGATTTACAAGCTGTTCATCACAATGAAACCAAAATTGGCTCTCTACTTGGACAGACACTTGAAAGCCTACACTGAAAAAAAGCAACAAACTTCTGCAGCCAGGTCTGTAAGCATTTTTAAAAAACAAGGCAGTAGCCATCTGCTGCTATTCTTTTTCTTTAGGTCTTCTTTTAATTCTTGTTGATTAACTTTCTAAATTGAGAGCATAAGTGAGTCATTCACACGGCGAAAATAGAGGAAGAGGAAGACAGCTGAGGGTGTATCATGCCCCTGAAGGTGTTAAGTAGTTACAACCCTGTTCAAAGGATTTAGTCTAGTAAAAGAAAACCATTGCATGATCACACTGTGGCTTAGGGACACAGCTCGAAGGTTTTAGTGTTATTTTTATCCTTCATTTAACTGAATCAGTCAAATTCCTACTTAGCAAGTCTGAACAAATATCAAAGAAAGCTTTTATGCAACATAGTTTAATTCTATTAGAATCCATGGATTCTTCTGAAGAGAAACAGAAAAACATTACGTTTCCATTGAAAAACAATTCCTAGAAAGTCCAGAACCTTCCCACTCTACTGCCTGACCCCACCCCGAGGATCACTACTGGCCTTCTTCAAGCTGCTGAGGAAACCAAGAGGCTTTGTTTCCTGTGGTTCACTCGACAGCTCTGCCGTGGGCGTTTCCCAAAAATGACCAGATGCATGGAATTCAAAGGAAGACTAGCACTGTGCTAGGAGCGCGGGGGAGCCTTAAATGAAGGCGGGAAAGGGGAGAGGAGGGAAGCAGGACATGGTACAGTATTCCTGGAAAAATCCCTTTGCTGGCTACGGTTCTACTGGATGACACGCAATCATTCATCTGACATCGTTCGTGTAAACAATGCAGCATGACTAATCAGCTTCTGTGGGGCATTCTGTTCAGCATAAAGTGAAAGTGAAAATAGTTGATGTGCACATGTTGTTGGAAGAAGTGTTTCTGTCATGGATTATCGGAAAGATCCCAAAAACTGTTTCCACTATTTTTAACCTCCTAGGACCTGGCGCCCACATATGTGGACATCACATTTTGGGTTATTTAGACCAAAATACTCCATTTTGCTCTACAGGGGCCTGATATCCTCTTATGAGGACATTATACTGCTACTGTTCTATCAAAATTTTAAACGAATATCCTCATATGTGGCTCTCATTTTTCTTAAAAACAAAAATCAGGTTTACATTCATCAGGTCCCAATCAGCCCAAATATCAAAGAGAAATTAAAAATGCATGCCGTGGAAGAGTTCGGGTCTTAGGAGGTTAAAGAACAGGGCTGAACTGTGATGAAAAAACAAACCAAAAGAACATTTCCCCCTAATCTCCACAAAGTCACATAGTGCATAAAATAATGTGAATGCTTTTCTAATAAAACTTTATTTTTTTTTAGCCAAATCCAAAGGTATGGTGAAACAGACATGAAATTTTAAGAACACTTAAAATATGTCAGTATATCTTTCAGTATATTCTGCAGTACAATCATAGATTTT